ATATATATATATATATATATATAAACCCACAATGAATATAAATTCCATATTTACCTGAAGCGTAAGACAATCACTCTGATAAAGGAAGGATATTTTGCTCTGTAGATTGGTTCAAGCTGTAACATACAATAACAGGCAGTCACAACCACAATCAGAATGAAACTTTTCATTTGTTAAATTACATTGATAACTGTTGAGGACTTTTTTACTTTAAGAGGGGAAAAACAAAATGTGTAAATTCTTTATGGTAAACTAAACAATTAAAATAAAAACAAACACCTATACAGTATGTTTGGCTTTGGTCTAAAACATCTGTTGTGTCTTAAATACAGGCAAGATATTTTCTGTGTGTCACCTGTGAATCTTGTACGTTTATTTTAACTCACCTGAGATCTGACAAGGTCAGCCCTTGACTTGAAAGCCTGAGAGTTTACATCACTGAGTTCAACTATAAATATGTCAAAAGAGCGAAACACCAGAGCTGTTAGATACACAGGTACAAATTTTGTAGTTGTAGTCGTAGGCACTTTAGTTGTAGATGTCAAGCGTCTTGTTGTTGTCGTCGGTGTTGTTGTTGTTGTTGTTGTTGTTGTTGTTGTCATCGCTGTTGTCGCCGTTGTTGTTGTTGATGCTGTAGTTGAAGTAGTCATGTTTATAACTGTAAGAAAGAAGATGGAAAAAATTAGATAAACAAAATATTATGCCTTACAGCCTTTTTTCTGTTTCATTACAGTTTAAATGTACTGTGTATTTTGTGTGTCATTCTTAAATACATAAGACTAGTACTATATTATAAATTCTGCAAGGGTTATCAATAATACAAGATCCATTGAGCAAAAGTGCTTGGCATAGTTTTTCTTTTTTATGATTTGTACTTTATTGATTTTCTTATTTGCAAATAAGAAATAATAAAAAACAATCATGCACCTGACATATAAACAAACCACTAAAACAACAACAACAACAAAAAACATTCATAAAGCAAATCAGATATAAATGAGTAAATAGATTAAAAGGGGGGTGTTGCCAGTACCAAGAGTTCCTACTAGAAGCTGTATCATATTTACCATAGAAATTATTTTCATCTCGCCACATGCTTGGTACTACTGTGGATTACAGAAATGCACATTTTCCCCCCCATTTATCAAAATAAATATTAATCCTCCTATGTAGACTATAGGAAAAATTTTTCGATGGCTGCCACCCGGCCTAAGTTCGAAAGCCACTCAAAAATCAGAGGCCTTCCAGAAGATTTCCAGTTTTTCACAATCACCCGTCTGCCTAGCATGATGCAGCTCTGTATCCACTCTGATTCAGCCTTTTTAACATGACTTAAAGGGCAAGGGTCACCAAGGATGTATAAGCTTGGGCAGAGATCATACTAGGCCTGTGATATCTTTACAATAGGCACAGTTTTTCTAAGACTTTCAGAATTTGCAAGATGTGTTCTGAAATGCAAGCAAACTTACCCGAACCATTGACTGAAATTGAATAAGGAGTTATATTCAGGGGGTTGACATCTCCTGTTATCACTGCTGTAAAGAGGGTGTCTGAAATCTCTTGAACGGTTGGAACAGATTGTGTGGAGTTGAAAACTAGTTGTGTTTCTGTGATGATTGACCCTGGCCTGGAAAATATAGAAGAATTTCACATAATATTCCTTAATATGAGCATATTACCACTATATAATAAGTTTACTGCATTATCTTGTTTGTTCTGTTTTTTAAACCCACAGTGCACATACATTCCATATTTACCTGAAACGCAAGACGATCACTTCGATAAAAGAAGGATATTTTGCTCTGTAGATTGGTCTAAGCTGTAACATACAATAACAGGCAGTCACAACCATGATCAGAAATAACATTTGATTTATTAAATTACATATATTACTGTTGAGGATTTCTATACTTTATGAGGGGAAAAACAAAGGGTGCGTCTCAATCAGCTCCCTAGCTCAGTAGTCAGGGCACTGATCAGGGAGTCGGCCCTTTTAAGGGCTGCCTCAATCGCGAAATACATTCGCTCCCTGAAAAATCCCACAATGCACTGCAAAAACTAGGGAGCATAGGTGCTCACAATGCTCCCTTACCGAAATCACGTCACATTTCTGAAGCGCAAACATAAACCACACGAGCCAACCCATACAGTCTATGGAGCCAACTCGATAAATATAATGATATGCGATAGAAGATTGGGGGGAGAAAAAAAAAATTTCAACATAAACACACATCGCTACACAGGTAAGGATCACATCTTGTTAATATTTATAATTAATATTTGGTTGAAATGTTGTAAGAACATGTAAAAGAAGAATGTGTTTAAAGAGAATAAAACATAATATAAAAACGACTGGTCCTCCCTGTTGTTGATTAATTACATCGGTGGCGTTCTACAATGTTGTCCGTTGACGTTGTACATAGTCATGTCACCAGAAATTGAGTAATCACTGTCCCAATGTGCAGTGAGCCAGGGTACTTACCAGTGACCGAATTCGTGTACACGATATACTGATTCACGAGCTAGGGAGCTGATTGAGATGCACACAAAGTGTCATTAATTAATGGTAAACTAAACAATTTAAATAATAACAATACCCAAACAAACTCCTGTATATGTTTGGCTTTGGTTTAAAATGTCTGCTGTCTGTTCTCTTAATTTATAGGCAAGATATTTTTTGTGTGTCACCTGTGAATCTTGTAAGTTTATTTTAACTCACCTGAGATCTGACAAACTCAGCTCTTGACTTGAAGGCCTGCGAGTTTGAATCATTGAGTTCAACTATAAATGTGTCAAAAGAGCGGAACACCAGATCTGTTAGATACACAGGTACAATTTTTGTAGTTGTAGTCGTAGGCACTATAAATGTAGATGTCAAGGGTCTTGTTGTTGTTGCATTAGTGGTTGAGAGAGTGGTTTTTTTAGTGGTTGAGGCAAATGAATTTGTCGATGTTCCAGCTGTGCTACCAGTCGTAGTGTTAAAGGTAGTTGAATAGGGAGTTGCTGAAGTAAAAACTGAAGTTTCTGTTTTTAGTGCAGAGAATCCTTTTGTTGTTGTTGTTGTTGTTGTTGCAGATGTTTCAATGGTACTAACAGATGTACTCTCAGAGGCATTTGATGATGGAGAGAATGAGATAAACGTTGGTGGTGATGTCATGGTAACTGCTCCACTAGTAGCAGGACCTGGTATGGATGTTGTACTTCCGAAGGCTGTTGAAGATTCAGTGACTGAGGCATAAGAAGACGTTTGTGTTTGTGGCACGGCTGTGATAAATATTCCACTGGTGGTGGATGTTCCAGCAGCAGTTGTTGTGGTAGTTGAGGGCCCTGTTGTTGTAGCTGTAGGTGTTGTGGATGTTGTGCTTGTACTGACGGCGTTGCTTTCAATAGTGGTTGAAGAGGGAATCACAGAAGTTCCTGCAGAAGATGTTATTTGTGGTGATGCTGTGGAAACTCCTGCAGTAGTAGTTCCAGAAACAGTTGATGTCACTGTTGAAGGATGTGTTGTTGTAGCTGTTTGTGGATGTGTTGTTGTAGCTGTTGGTGTTGTGGATGTTGTGGCTGTACTGACAGTGGTGCTTTCAATAGTGGTTGAAGAAGGACTCACAACAGGTACTGCAGTAGATGTTGTCTGTGGCGCTGTTGTGGAAACTCCTGCAGTAGTAGTTCCAGCAGCAGTTGATGTCACTGTTGAAGGATGTGTTGTTGTATCTGTTGGTGTTGTGGATGTTGTGGCTGTACTGATAGTGGTGCTTTCAATAGTGATTAAAGAGGGAATGACAGAAGTTTCTGCAGTAGTTGTTTTCCGTGGCGCTGATGTGGGAACTGCTGCAGTAGTAGTTCCAGCAGCAGTTGATGTCACTGTTGAAGGATGTGTTGTTGTATCTGTTGGTGTTCTGTTGTTGTAGCTGTTGGTGTTGTGGATGTTGTGGCTGTACCGACAGTGGTGCTTTTAATTGAGGTTGAAGAAGCACTCACAACAGGTACTGCAGTAGTTGTTTTCCGTGGCGCTGTTGTGGAAACTCCTGCAGTAGTAGTTCCAGCAGCAGTTGATGTCACTATTGAAGGATGTGTTGTTGTATCTGTTGGTGTTCTGTTGTTGTAGCTGTTGGTGTTGTGGATGTTGTGGCTGTACCGACAGTGGTGCTTTTAATTGAGGTTGAAGAAGCACTCACAACAGGTACTGCAGTAGTTGTTTTCCGTGGCGCTGTTGTGGAAACTCCTGCAGTAGTAGTTCCAGCAGCAGTTGATGTCACTATTGAAGGATGTGTTGTTGTATCTGTTGGTGTTCTGTTGTTGTAGCTGTTGGTGTTGTGGATGTTGTGGCTGTACCGACAGTGGTGCTTTTAATTGAGGTTGAAGAAGCACTCACAACAGGTACTGCAGTAGTTGTTTTCCGTGGCGCTGTTGTGGAAACTCCTGCAGTAGTAGTTCCAGCAGCAGTTGATGTCACTATTGAAGGATGTGTTGTTGTATCTGTTGGTGTTCTGTTGTTGTAGCTGTTGGTGTTGTGGATGTTGTGGCTGTACCGACAGTGGTGCTTTTAATTGAGGTTGAAGAAGCACTCACAACAGGTACTGCAGTAGTTGTTTTCCGTGGCGCTGTTGTGGAAACTCCTGCAGTAGTAGTTCCAGCAGCAGTTGATGTCACTATTGAAGGATGTGTTGTTGTATCTGTTGGTGTTCTGTTGTTGTAGCTGTTGGTGTTGTGGATGTTGTGGCTGTACCGACAGTGGTGCTTTTAATTGAGGTTGAAGAAGCACTCACAACAGGTACTGCAGTAGTTGTTTTCCGTGGCGCTGTTGTGGAAACTCCTGCAGTAGTAGTTCCAGCAGCAGTTGATGTCACTATTGAAGGATGTGTTGTTGTATCTGTTGGTGTTCTGTTGTTGTAGCTGTTGGTGTTGTGGATGTTGTGGCTGTACCGACAGTGGTGCTTTTAATTGAGGTTGAAGAAGCACTCACAACAGGTACTGCAGTAGTTGTTTTCCGTGGCGCTGTTGTGGAAACTCCTGCAGTAGTAGTTCCAGCAGCAGTTGATGTCACTATTGAAGGATGTGTTGTTGTATCTGTTGGTGTTCTGTTGTTGTAGCTGTTGGTGTTGTGGATGTTGTGGCTGTACCGACAGTGGTGCTTTTAATTGAGGTTGAAGAAGCACTCACAACAGGTACTGCAGTAGTTGTTTTCCGTGGCGCTGTTGTGGAAACTCCTGCAGTAGTAGTTCCAGCAGCAGTTGATGTCACTATTGAAGGATGTGTTGTTGTATCTGTTGGTGTTCTGTTGTTGTAGCTGTTGGTGTTGTGGATGTTGTGGCTGTACCGACAGTGGTGCTTTTAATTGAGGTTGAAGAAGCACTCACAACAGGTACTGCAGTAGTTGTTTTCCGTGGCGCTGTTGTGGAAACTCCTGCAGTAGTAGTTCCAGCAGCAGTTGATGTCACTATTGAAGGATGTGTTGTTGTATCTGTTGGTGTTCTGTTGTTGTAGCTGTTGGTGTTGTGGATGTTGTGGCTGTACCGACAGTGGTGCTTTTAATTGAGGTTGAAGAAGCACTCACAACAGGTACTGCAGTAGTTGTTTTCCGTGGCGCTGTTGTGGAAACTCCTGCAGTAGTAGTTCCAGCAGCAGTTGATGTCACTATTGAAGGATGTGTTGTTGTATCTGTTGGTGTTCTGTTGTTGTAGCTGTTGGTGTTGTGGATGTTGTGGCTGTACCGACAGTGGTGCTTTTAATTGAGGTTGAAGAAGCACTCACAACAGGTACTGCAGTAGTTGTTTTCCGTGGCGCTGTTGTGGAAACTCCTGCAGTAGTAGTTCCAGCAGCAGTTGATGTCACTATTGAAGGATGTGTTGTTGTATCTGTTGGTGTTCTGTTGTTGTAGCTGTTGGTGTTGTGGATGTTGTGGCTGTACCGACAGTGGTGCTTTTAATTGAGGTTGAAGAAGCACTCACAACAGGTACTGCAGTAGTTGTTTTCCGTGGCGCTGTTGTGGAAACTCCTGCAGTAGTAGTTCCAGCAGCAGTTGATGTCACTATTGAAGGATGTGTTGTTGTATCTGTTGGTGTTCTGTTGTTGTAGCTGTTGGTGTTGTGGATGTTGTGGCTGTACCGACAGTGGTGCTTTTAATTGAGGTTGAAGAAGCACTCACAACAGGTACTGCAGTAGTTGTTTTCCGTGGCGCTGTTGTGGAAACTCCTGCAGTAGTAGTTCCAGCAGCAGTTGATGTCACTATTGAAGGATGTGTTGTTGTATCTGTTGGTGTTCTGTTGTTGTAGCTGTTGGTGTTGTGGATGTTGTGGCTGTACCGACAGTGGTGCTTTTAATTGAGGTTGAAGAAGCACTCACAACAGGTACTGCAGTAGTTGTTTTCCGTGGCGCTGTTGTGGAAACTCCTGCAGTAGTAGTTCCAGCAGCAGTTGATGTCACTATTGAAGGATGTGTTGTTGTATCTGTTGGTGTTCTGTTGTTGTAGCTGTTGGTGTTGTGGATGTTGTGGCTGTACCGACAGTGGTGCTTTTAATTGAGGTTGAAGAAGCACTCACAACAGGTACTGCAGTAGTTGTTTTCCGTGGCGCTGTTGTGGAAACTCCTGCAGTAGTAGTTCCAGCAGCAGTTGATGTCACTATTGAAGGATGTGTTGTTGTATCTGTTGGTGTTCTGTTGTTGTAGCTGTTGGTGTTGTGGATGTTGTGGCTGTACCGACAGTGGTGCTTTTAATTGAGGTTGAAGAAGCACTCACAACAGGTACTGCAGTAGTTGTTTTCCGTGGCGCTGTTGTGGAAACTCCTGCAGTAGTAGTTCCAGCAGCAGTTGATGTCACTATTGAAGGATGTGTTGTTGTATCTGTTGGTGTTCTGTTGTTGTAGCTGTTGGTGTTGTGGATGTTGTGGCTGTACCGACAGTGGTGCTTTTAATTGAGGTTGAAGAAGCACTCACAACAGGTACTGCAGTAGTTGTTTTCCGTGGCGCTGTTGTGGAAACTCCTGCAGTAGTAGTTCCAGCAGCAGTTGATGTCACTATTGAAGGATGTGTTGTTGTATCTGTTGGTGTTCTGTTGTTGTAGCTGTTGGTGTTGTGGATGTTGTGGCTGTACTGATAGTGGTGCTTTCAATAGTGATTAATGGGGGAATCAAAGAAGTTACTGCAGTAGTTGTCGTCTGTAGTGCTGTTGTGGAAACTCCTGCAGTAGTAGTTCCAGCAGCAGTAGATGTCACTGTTGAAGGATGTGTTGTGGATGTTGTGGCTGTACTGATAGTGATGCTTTCAATAGTGATTAATGGGGGAATCACAGAAGTTACTGCAGTAGTTGTCGTCTGTGGCGCTGTTGTGGAAATTCCTGCAGTAGTAGTTCCAGCAGCAGTAGATGTCACTGTTGAAGGATGTGTTGTGGATGTTGTGGCTGTACTGACAGTGGTGCTTTTAATAGTGGTTGAAGAAGCACTCACAACAGGTACTGCAGTAGTAGTCGTCTGTGGTGCTGTTGTGGAAACTCCTGCAGTAGTAGTTCCAGCAGCAGTAGATGTCACTGTTGAAGGATGTGTTGTGGATGTTGTGGCTGTACTGATAGTGGTGCTTTCAATAGTGATTAATGGGGGAATCACAGAAGTTACTGCAGTAGTAGTCGTCTGTGGCGCTGTTGTGGAAATTCCTGCAGTAGTAGTTCCAGCAGCAGTAGATGTCACTGTTGAAGGATGTGTTGTGGATGTTGTGGCTGTACTGATAGTGGTGCTTTCAATAGTGATTAAAGGGGGAATGACAGAAGTTTCTGCAGTAGTTGTTTTCTGTGGCGCTGTTGTGGAAACTCCTGCAGTAGTAGTTCCAGCAGCAGTAGATGTCACTGTTGAAGGATGTGTTGTGGATGTTGTGGCTGTACTGATAGTGGTGCTTTCAATAGTGATTAAAGGGGGAATGACAGAAGTTTCTGCAGTAGTTGTTTTCTGTGGCGCTGTTGTGGAAACTCCTGCAGTAGTAGTTCCAGCAGCAGTTGATGTCACTGTTGAAGGATGTGTTGTTGTAGCTGTTGGTGTTGTGGATGTTGTGGCTGCACTGACAGTGGTGCTTTCAGTAGGGGTTGAAGTGGGGATCACAGAAGTTACTGCAGAAGATGTTGTTTGTGGAGCTGTTGTGGAAAATCCTGCAGTAGTAATTCCAGCAAGAGTTGTGACTGCTGTTGTTGTTGCTGTTGTTATTGATGTTTCTTTAACACTACTAAGAGATGTTTCAGCTACAGTTGTGACTGTGGAAGTGTCTGTTGTAGATTTTTCTGCTGCTCTAGTGGTGGATGTTTCAGCAGGAGTTGCTGTGATTGTGGAGGGCTCTGTTGTTGTAGACGTTTCTGCTGCACTAGTGGTGGATGTTTCAGCAGGAGTTGTTGTGATTGTTGAGGGCTCTGTTGTTGTAGATGTTTCAGCTGCAGCTGTTGTGATTGTGGTAGTGTCTGGTGTTGTAGATGTTTCTGCTGCACTAGTGGTGGATGTTTCATCAGGAGTTGTTGTGATTGTGGAAGTCTCCATTGTTGTAGATGTTTCTGTTTCACTAGTGGTGGATGTTTCATATGGAGTCGTGGTTGTGGAAGTCTCTTTTGTTGTAGATGTTTCTGCTGCACTAGTGGTG